TAAACTGCTCCCTTTCTTCAACACAGATATATTTTTCTTTATTTTCCTATCCTAATGATCTTTCCTATCTTCATATTTTTGCACGTCGCTCGCGTACCGCATGGTCCTACGGTGAAGTTCCAGGTGCTCAACGTGCATACTAGTGGTGAGGTTCGGCTAAGCGGCAACTGTTTGCAGTTTTCCCGCGCTTTGCTCACCTTCGATGCTCCTTTCGATACAGTGCCGCACCTCCAGTTGATCAAGGAGCTGTTCACGCAGAGTCTAGGCGCACCGCGCAATCACCCCAAGTCGAAACCGTTTCATGACCACGCCTTGAGCTTTTTCTATGCAGACAAGAAAATCTGGGTCCGGCACTACCAGATCGCGCCACTCACTGACGCAGACGGGAACGATCCGGAGAAGCAGACTCTGACGGAAATCGGACCGCGCTTCGTCTTAGACCCCATCTGGATCTTGCAGGGATCGTTCATTATGATTTAGTTTGTTCTTTCATTTAGTACAGATGTATTTATAGTAATGCAGTCAGGCAGGTTTCTTTTTTGGAGAACTCGCCCGCGGTACAAGAGAAAAATCCTTCGCGAAACGAATTGAATTGCCTTTGATTGATCCACTTATTTAGAATAGATTGGTTGATACAATCAAAGTTGACCGTGACATCTCATTTCGTAGCATCCCAAATAATACACGCACACGTAGTATTTTCATCTACGCAAAATTTTAATAACCTGCTTCTGCAGCTTGCTTTCTCCTTCCTGTACAAGGCTCCTATGTTTCCTCCCTCTAATCTCCGCGGCAAGAAGATCTTCCACAATGAGGCGTTTATGACACCGACCGCTGCACGACGGGAGGCTAAGCAGTCTCTAGGCGTCCAGGCTAAGCTCAGAGCCGAACAGACGGAGCAAACGAAGCAAATGCATCAAATGCTTAAAAGGTCAGCAGATCCAACGGACGCTATCTTTGAGGACATGGAATAAGGAGATCAAGATCAAGATCATTATAACTGGCGAGGTCGGATGTTTTATCTGGATCTTCTATTTGAGGCAAAACCTCCTGCGATAGAATTTAAGAAAAGCAGCATTAATATAAGGAAGTAGATGAACAATGGGGGACCACCAAAAAGAAGGTTGAAGACAACACACAAGATGAAGATTGTCTCTTCGTCGGACAGGTGCTTTTTAACTTCTACGTTCATCACGACACGGGACGAGAATCTGGGCGACAGCACTTTGCTGTTAGACATTACCTTGAATCTACAACGAGAAGCTGTTGCAACGAACTGCAAGATGAAGATTCATTGATTTACACGGTCGCAAACCCGTACCTATGCATTTATTACCATGTACCAGAATGAGAATGACCTACAAACGAGGTCTTTGATGACCATCTTTTAAAGAGGTCCACCTTGGAGATCAGGCCCACCTTGGAGAACTGACCTGCTGCATTTTGGAGGAGCGCGACGTCTGGTGTGGTTGTTTTCATTTTATTGGAGATCACGACAAGGAAAATCTGCTTCCTCGATCCGCAAACGAAAAGAGTCTTGTCGAAGTCGTATCTTCATCTAAACGAATACAAATACAAATACAAGAGCTTCACAAGAACTTGAAATCCAGTGCTTTCTGATCGTGATCTACTTGTATCATCTTTGAAGCTGGGCTCCACGACACTGTCTGAGAGAACAAGGAATATTGCAAATTGGAAATGTCTTTAATACTAAAGTAAATAAATGTTAGCGAAGATGAATGTTGAAGAAAGAGCTAGCTCTGAAACAAGAACAACCTTCATTCACACCTGCTCAAACCAGACACAGCGACATGATCATACATTGAGAACTAGATGGTCATGCATTTTAATATACTGAAGAATATACTGTGAAGAATAGGTGGTGGGAATAGAAGCTTATAGTAGAGTAGCGACGAAAAATATTAAGACCACGTCTTAAACGTGGCTTTGTTAGTTTCTCAAAGATAGACATCCATAGAACTGACCCCAAAAAACCTTGCCCAAGATGGTGACGCCAGGCCAGATGCAGATGTTCAACAAGCCTGAGCCCTATGAGGCTCAGATCCTTGGCTCGAAATACGTAAACCAATACGAATACGATCCCAGCTCCGATGTCCCGAACGCAGGAACGTACACGATTCGTCTCCATGACCATACACTTGGAAATGCATTGCGGATGGAACTTTATGAGCACACACTTGGAAATGCACTTCTTAAAGATGGCAAAGGTTTTTACAGTGTAAAATTTACACTTCCTATAGATGGAGGAGGTTCTTATTACACTTCTTATAGATGGAGGAGGCTTTTATCAGATGGCCACAAAGTACTAGTACTTAGGAAATTATGTTTATGATGAAGATGAACTCCAAAGATCGTACTTCTAAGATTCTTGTGACTCTTTCGCGCTCGTTGTACTTGTAGTGTACGGCCAAAAAAAAGTGTACTTGTAGTGTACTTGTAGTGTACTGTACCTAGCCAAAAAATAAAACCTTCATGCCCAACTCCGAGACAAGCGCGTGCTTTTTGCTGGGTATCAAGTGCCGCATCCGTTATTTCACGAGATAAAATTGAGGATTCAAACAACAGGGGTTTGTACGCCTAAACAAGCACTGTTAAGGCTTGTGAGAAAATCCATCTTTCCCAGCATCTTGTCCTTGGCCTCATTTTGAAGTACTTAGAGCATTTCTTCCAAAATATTTCACATCTTTCCCAGCATCTTGTCCTTGG